TAAAAATATACAATAATATGAATCTTTTCACAAACAAATATTTGACATTTAGCAGACGCTGTGTGACTGTGTGTTTCTCTCTTCAAATGCTCATGTGTGTGTCAGCTGAGGACAGGTATTTCCTAAAGCAGTGAGCCAGGAGGGTAAAATCACAGGAAGGATGTCAAATATGTTGGCTGAACAGATGAAAAGAAAATAACAGGGATAGACAAAAAAGGATTTAAAAAGAGCATTTATTTGGGTTATTACATTCATATCCGAGGCAAGATGCGGTCAGCGATTAGTTGCAAATCTTGCACACAAATGCCTTTTGCCAAATGTCTACTGCGGAAACCTATCACCTTTCTGTTACAAGACTCTCTCCCTGTATATGTGAAGAAGAGGGCATCATGAGAGATGAGAGAAACAGCAGGACAAGTGTTGGATAATGAGAGCAAGAGAGATGTGAAGTGAAGAAAGACATTGTGGTTGGGAAAAGTGGAATGTGATAGAAAGACAGAACAGCTGTTGCAGTGTTTTTACCTGTCATGAGGTGCTTTACAAGTACAACACATTAACATGGAAAACCACCTGGAGACTGACGGTCACATTTAACCAGCCGAGGTGACTTTGTGTGTCATTTACGTGCATGTTGTTTCAGATGGAGAGGAACACATAGGCTCTTAAATGTGTTTTTGTGTGTCTTCCTGTTGGTGTGGCAGGAGATTGATTTAGAATCTGAAGTCATTAGAGGATGAACAAGGCTTTAGCTGACAGACTGTGACCGGGCGAGCTCGCCTGCCACCGTTTGTCCTTGGGATCCAGAGACAATGAGACAAGAGATAAAGCACTTAGAAAACCCATTTCTTTCTTTCCCTCCCTCCCTCTCTATTTTTCTTGCAGCACACACTGTGGTAGTTACCATTATATGTCAAGATGTTGAAACTGCCTGCTTTTTAGGGTTTTTTCATGAAAAAAAGCAAACATAGCAAGCCTTGCCACCCATCATTTGGTGAATAATTGTGCTTATATTTACAGTATATACTATATATAGCTTTACACTGTTAACATTACCAGTGTTGGCTGTCATTTGCAAGGCTACTTTTCCATCACATGGCCACAGGAGAGCCTTTGCCAGACTTTTACCATCATTGTTTGTATCCGTTACGGTTACCAAAGAGTTCCTGCTGAAAAACTATTCGTTATTCTGAGGTATTTCTTTCATTTAACCTCTCTTTTTCCTTGTACGACTTCTGCTGTGGCTGCTAACAATACTGTGGTAACTGTGGCAAACTAAACAAGGACACTAAGACCTAATTACTGGCGAAACAGCTTCCGAGTATTAAGGGTGCGAGTATGGAATAAAGGAATAATCCCACTAATTCAGCCAAGAGATAAGGGCGTCCGCTAAACAAAGAAGTCATAATAATAAGACAATTTCTCCGGGCAAAATCCCGCTAAGCCCCCTAGAATCCGATTACGCTCTAGCATAAGAATTTATGGAGGTTTCTCAGTTGCAAATTCACTTCCTCCACTTTTCCCTCCCCATGTCCTCTGGTTACCTCGTTACTCCCCTGGTGTAGTCTTCTCTGATTGGATCAGCCCACTCTCTGGCTGGACGGTGACCTTGTTTGCCATTGGTCAGTTTGGGAGAGAAAGGTATGAAACCACCAGCAGACATTCATTGGGGGGTAGATTCTCACACACACACACATGCACGCACGCACGCACGCACACACGCACGCACACACACACACACACACACACACACACACACACACACATCTATTCTGTGATTTTTCTAGGAGCTTATTGGAATTTAAACACTTGGTATTAGTTGAGACGTGACAGATTTTTAACAACAAATAATCCTTTTCTTTTCAGTTTGGCATGATCCTTCTCTCCTTTCACTTTTGACAGATGGGAAGGAGAAGCAGCCTGCAGAGGGAAGGAAGGACAGTGAGGATAGAGTGGGGAAGAAGGGAGGAAAGGCATACGCAAGATAAATGCATCACATAAAACATTTAAAAGCTTACTGTTTTTGAAACCCCTGCATAATCAAGTAAAAGCTTCCACACCATTGTTATAAATCCAATCCCTCAAAAGCAGTTTATTCAGTTTTGTTAGACTGTATTTAATATATTATTGTTGACCATTTTACATTTGATTATCAGCAGTTTTGGGACAGTTGCTGTGTGTCAACGATGTGTTTGATCTGCCAGGTTACTCTGTGTTCTTATGTGTGTGTGTTTACAGCTGTGTTTACAGTACCAGGGAAGTGTTGGCAGTGATTTCTACCAGGTGGAGGTGGGCCAGCTTGTGGTTTGTGTGCTTTGAGGACGAAGTCACGTGATGCAGTTCGCCGCGCCTTATTGAACACACACACTCTCAATCACTAAGAGTGAGTCATTTTCATCTGCCAACCAACCTTTTTTCTTATCCATCATACCTCAACCTATAATTGACCTCAATGTGAACCTTAATTGTATGTTTGCAGGTTTGGTATGCCTCCTAATTCTTAACATTACAATGTTTTGATGAGGGATAATTAGGGTTCATAATCCAGATTCAGGAGAACCAACAAACATCAACAAAATTAAAAGCACAAAGGTTAGAGCCTATAATTCAAGGAACAATCGTCCTATAGAAGAACAACATCGTCCGTCCGTCCGTCCGTCATGCCTCGACCCTGAACTCAACCAAAATGTGACCATACTGTTATACCATAATAATACAGATATTTTTCTTTAACAATAATTTATAGATTTTTAGAATGTTTTTTCATTATTTCGACATACTATCACTTTTTTGTGACATTTCTGACATACCCAATTATTTTCTAAAATGTTCGACATACTATAATATATGTGACCCGCTCTATCGAAATCAGTCGGAAGTCGCAACGGCTCATTTCAAAATAAACGTGGATTTGTATAAAAAACTATTTTTTCGGGGTTCGGGTGTTTTGTTTGATTTTAAACAAACAAAGTCTTGGCTTTCAGAATATGAAACTTTTATTTCCAAACTCACACGATAAATACATTCTTTAAGCTTGTAAAGGGAAGATGACAGGCAATCTGCTCTTCCGCAGCGCCGCTCCCCCTCCCTCCGGCTGACATTATGAATGTAAGCGTAGAGCAGGGATGGGCAAATGGCGGCCCCACCTCCTCTTTTT